TGTGTGTGTGTGTGTGTGTGTGTGTGTGTGTTGGATAAGCTCCGTGTGTGTGTGTGTGTGTGTGTGTGTGTGCATTGGATAAGCTCCATGTTTTCAGTTGACATTCATTTATGGTGTTAAATTGTTTACTTTGTTCCACAGTATTTCATAAAAAGGACAATCCATGTTAATATCAATAAATTTACTTTTAGGGTCAAGTTATTACAGGAAAGTTACAAACTAATGGAGATGAAGAAACTTTTACGAGGTTATGGAATAAGGGAGCTGAATCTCTTAAACAAGGAAATCATGGTAGGTATTACCGTTGAAGAGCTTTTCCCCCCTTTGTTCCATTTCTCCATCATCATGGCACATTTTGTGAGGGTTTTATATTCGAAAAGGTTAGTATGTTAATAGGGCATTCAGTTGTCTTGTGGAGCAGTAAGGACCACAACTAGTGAATTAAGAAGCTAAAGGAGAAAGAAAACAGACTGTCGTTAAACTCAGGATATAAATCAGGTTTTCATTTTTCATACAGTTTAATTTCTTACTGCGTTATTTTAATTTGAGGGCGACTTTGCCCTTTTGAGTAAATGATCCCTGGATTCTCTGAGATTTCTTAACTCAAGAAAATCTATGTACTGTCTCTGTTCCAGAGGGTGGTCAGGTACATTCTCAAGCAGGATGTCCCCTCTTCCCTAGAGGATGCTTTGAAGGTGGCACAAGCATACATGTTGCCTGATGATGAAATCTACAGTTTAAGGATAATCGACTTGATTGACAGAGGTCAGGTATGCAGGATTTACATTGCTCTTTCATATGGTTTCTTTGTTTCCCAAACCCTTAAAAACTCAAAGCAATCACATCATCCAAATAGATATGCACAAAATAAACTTGTACCAAGATGGAAACACTGGATGTTAGACTGGCCACTTTTTTTTCATATCTGTTAATGCTTTAAAAGTATTTTTTTTTTTTATTGTACTTCAGGTGAAGGCTTATAGAACAAATAGTTTCCAGTGAAGCTTTAAAAGTATTTTGTGAATAACTAATGGGTTTTCATACTCTTTGGTAGTTAACCAAACTCAGACTCATGTTTTATATATTTTGTATGACCCTTTGATTCCAGCATAGGATGTGGGTTTTCTTTTTTGTATTTTTAAGTATCTTTATTTTATATATTTTTTACTGGGATAAGTATATATACGTATATATAACAAAACATTTGCCAAGGCAACAGTTACTGCATATATAATTCAGTGACATTGATTACATTCATCATGATATGCAAGAACTACCTTTTTCCAGATTATTCCACCACCAATAACAAAAACTGAGTGCCCTCTAAGCAGTGATCCCCAAGTGTCTTTATTTTTATATACCTTCAGTCATAGGCATACCTAAGGCTTAAGCTACTGTTCAGTACGTAGAGTTGTAATTTACTTTTATTTTAATGTTTGCTGCCGTCAAACACAGAATTTTCAGATTCTTAAAAAACTTTGGACCATAGTGAAATTTTCACAATGATGCCTTTTTATTTTTAAACAGAAAGGAAAGAGCTAAGTCTACACTGTCCTTTGCATGTGCCGCTGTTTTTCCTTCCTTCCAAATGCTGTGTGTAGGGTGAAGAATGTCTCCTCCTATTGCGGTCTTTGCCTCCTGCTGAAGCTGAGAAAACTGCAGAGCGAGTGATCATATGGGCACGTTTGGCATTACAGGAAGAACCAGATGATTCCAAAGAGGTGAGATTTTCATTACATAAACTGTCAATATAAATCAGTCTAACTTTTGTGAATACTAATCAATAGCATAGAAAAGATGGATGTACAAAAAAGATCTACTCTTCCTACTGCTGGGTGAGTTTCTTGTATAAATTTGTTACATAGGAAGAAAACCAAATATGGTTGCTTTGGTGTAGTGGTTTGAGCCCACACTTAATAATCTTGCATCTGGCAGTTAAAAGGATTAACTGAAGTAGCTGTTGTGGGTAAAGGGTTTTCCAGAAATGCCTTGCAATATTAATAATGTTTCGTGTTATGTAGAACAGAGTACTTGCTGTCAAATAGTAACGTCAGCCGCAACCGGGGTAAATCTCAACAATATTAGAACACTGAAACTTGGAAACGGTTTCAAGAGAGTCAACACACTTCTTCAGTAATAAGGGATTGAGTATCTAATTTATCTAGGATAGTTTTTTTTTTTTAAACCTTTAGCAATAGATACCTCCCAGTCTCTCTCAGCAGTACATTTTAATAATTTTTTGCCCCTAGGGAAAAGAGTTTTTAACAACGCCTAAAGATTACAGCCTAGAAAACGCTATGGGGCAGTTCTACTCTGTCACCTGGGATTGCTGTGAGTTGAAAATCGACTTGATGACAGCTAACAACAAGAATATTTATTATGCTCTTATTATGCGGTATGCATTAGGCTAAATGCTTTAAATCAGTTAGCCATTTCATCTTGTCATTAGCTCCTTGTTGGTGAAATTCAGAAACTTAAATTTTAATTTAAATGACTTGTCCAAGGTTATTAGAAAGTGGCAAAACTTCAGCTCAAAAGCTGTCTGATACTACGGTCTGTTCTTAACTGCTAGGTTATACTGCATCACATAGTGAGAATATTTGTTGAGTAGTTTGTGTGTGTGTGTGTGTGCGCGCGTGCACACGTGCATGCAGTAAAAGCATATATAACAAAACAGTTGCCAGTCCAACAGTTTTTACGTATACAGTTCAATGACTTGATTACATTCATCATGTTGTGCAACCATCACCACTATCCTTTTCCAAATTATTTCACCACCATTAACAGAAATTCAGTGCTCCTCCACTCTCCCTCCCTCACACCCCTGTGAACCCCTAATAAATTTTGGTCTCTATACATTTGTCTATTTCATATAAATGGAATCATGTAATATATGTCCTTTTGTGACTGACTTATGTCACTCAACATAATGTTAAAAAGATTCATCTGCGTCATAGCAGGTATCAGAACTTCATTTGTCTTTATGGCTGAGTAATACTCCATTGTATGGATAAAACACATTTTGTTCATCCATCATCTGTTGATGGAGGCTTGGGTTGCTTCTGCCATTTGGCCATTAAGAATAGTGTTGCAATGAACTATTGTACATGCTGATTACTTTTTATGGGCCAAACCCTTACTAAGCGTTTTACCTACATTGTCTCTCTTAATTAAAGCTTCTGCCCCTTTGTTTTTCTTCTCTCTCTCTCTTCCCCCACCCCTTTTAAAAATCTGTTTTAGTTTTGAAGATAGTTATTTCTTAGACTGCTGTTCTCTAGGCTAAAAGTTCAGTTAAGTTCTTAACTTTTCCAAATGTTTTTTTCAAATAGTAAATAAAGTATGAAAAAAAAATAACCTTCTGTTAATCATAGTGCAGCTGAAAGATTATGTGGGATATTTGCATATTCTATTGCATTTCTAAACCATATATCCAGGAGTCTATACTTGTGTTTTTAATGTTTAGCTTATGTTCAGTTATGATCCTTTTTTTCAGTTATGATCCATTCTTTGCCCAACCTCCCCTAACATGGACTTCTCATTTTTCAGCATTTTTACTCAGTTCTTCTGATGCTGTGGTTTTTAGGTGTTTACTTACATGTGAAGTGGCCAGTAAGAGAAGTAGATTTCAGTTTGTATTTTTGTTTTTAGGACAAGGCCTGGAGAATGTCTGTAGCGAAGACGTCAGTAGACATTCTTAAAACACTGTGTGACATTCAGAAAGGTAATTCCTCCCTGTGCTCCCTGATCTTAGTTTTGTTCTAAAGCTTGTCCTTTTCAGAAGGAAGCATCAACGGCAGATACCACCTGTACCCACTTTTCCTGGCTCTGCCTTTATCGATGCTACCATTTTTCTTCATGAAAATCTCTTCTTGCCTTATTCTTTGGATCACTAGTATAAGACACGAAGTATCTAAAATCAACAACACTTATTCACATATGTTGATGCATGTATGCTAGACTAGATTGACTTGATGCCTTGCTCTTCTTGCCCATTTTCTTCACTTATCAGTTGGTTATGATCAAGGAATGAAAACCCATTTAAACTTGAGTTTAAGCCAAACAATTAAGAATGTAATTTTCTGGGGAGGGAAAAAGGAGCTACAGTTTATTTCAAAATAATTACCATTTCTCTTGAATCCATAAACTTCTCTTTTCTGCTGTCAGAAAGAAATGGTTTCTTTTTAAACGTAAATTCTCTTATTTCAGTATCTGTAAGGGACTACTAAAGACTTCAGATATGAGCACCAAGTCTAATTAAAATTTCAGCATATTACAGTTCTGATAATGGGAATTTGCATGTCTGCTATAACTTTTAAAAAAATTTTACTTACAGACAATCTGCTGAAGAAGGATGAATCTGAGGAAGTCTTAGACCTGTTTAAAGCTGTTGCTAGCTTGCAGGTAAAGATGTTGAGCTGTACTGAAAATTATTATTGGACCAGGCAGTACCTTTGACAAAGATAACCAATTCCTCCTTCCTAAAATGTTCTACACTAGTTCTTCAGGGTGTTTAGATATGCCTGGCTTTCCCTCTCTCTTTTTTAATTTGTATCCTAGTTTATACTTTATTTTAAAATATTTTGGCCTTTACTTAAGCAGCCTTTATAGACTAGTTTTATTTAGTTCAGATGGGCCTGAAAAATGACTAACAATAGCTACCATTTCTTGCATGCTTACTTTGTGCCAGGCACCATTCCATGGGATTCACGTGTGTTATTTTATTTGTCACAGTAGCCCTCTGCAGTAGGTACTGTTATAATTCCCCTTTTTCTGATGAGGAAGCTGAGGCACAGGGAGGTTAAATGGCTCACTAGTCACAGAGCAACAGCCCTGGTGGCACAGTGGTTAAACACTTGGCTGCTAACAAAAGGTTGGTGATTTGAACCCACCAGCCACTGTGGGAGAAAGATGTGGCAGTCTGCTTCCGTAAAGATTACGGCTTTGGAAACCCTATGGGGCAGTTCTCCTCTGTCCTATGGTGTCACTATGAGTTGGAATTGACTCGACAGCAATGGGTTTTTGTTCTGTTTTTAGCCACAAAGCTATTAAGTGGTACAGCCAAGATTGAAACCGAGGTAGAACATTTCTTTTAACCACTAGGGTATACTGTCTTGAAGTATCGTGAAGTATTATGAATTGACTATAGACGCTGGCCCAAAAGATTACTGTCTACTACTTCAAAATGGCTTAGATTTTTTTTTCTATGTAGCGTCATTCTAGATAGTTCTGTTTTTCTTCAAAATTAATTTCTGTTAGTTTTGAATTGATCCACTGTTAAAATTTGGTATTTGAAATTTTTTATATTTTGGCTCAAGAGTCTTTGCAATGTGAAAATGGTTTATAAAGAAAAGGGCCTTTGGAGTTTTTTCAAATAGAAAATTGGGGAGGTTTGAGAATCTTTTCATGAAAATTTCTAATGAACACGGGCAGCTATAACTCTAAGCTGTATTATCTCGAAGTATGTAAGGAAGAAATCTTTGCTATAGTTTATTAGACCAGTGTTTCCCAAAGTATGGTCTGTGGAATCCTGAGGGTTCCTGAGACCCTTTCAGGGGGTTCATGGGATAAGAAATATTTTCATAACAAGACTAAGACATTATTTGCTTTTTCATCCCTATTCTCTGATAAGTATGTAGTGGAGTTTTTCAGAGGCTTTGTGACATGATGACATCATTGCTCTGAGGACTATTGGGATGTATACTTTTGTATATTCTTCTGTTTTAAAAATTTCTAACTTTAATTTTTAATACGGTAAATGTTGATAGGTATAATCCTATAAGCAAAAGCTTTTGGGTCCTCAGTAATTTTTCAGAGTATAAAGGGATCCTTTGACCAAAAAGCATGAGACCTGCTGAATTAGATAATAGACATCTTCTTGAAAAGCATCTGAGGTGTCAGTATAAATTAACCTCTCTGTGTTTTTTCTTGAAAATTAGAGTGTTTTTAGGTAATGATTTTGTTCTTGGCAAATCATATTGATCAAGCTACTATTTATTGAACATTTATTGGCCAGGTCTGATGTGTATCTGTAATCTTCACATCAGCCTTGCAAGATAGCTGTTGTCTCCATTCCTTCTGTAAATGAGGAAACTGAAGCTCAGCAAGCTTCTGCAGCTTGTCCGAGATCCTGCTACTAATCCCTGCAGCCACCATTCAGACCCTGGTCTGTCTGACATCAGTGTCCTTACTTGTTAGTCTGTTTTGTACTGTCTCATCCGAATTAACAATGGATATTTTTTTAAAAAATCCTTTAAAAGTCCTAAAATGTATTGACTGTCCCCAGAAATGCACTCCTTTGGATAAGATGCGCATTAAAAGAAGAGAGACTTCTTGGTGACTAATGCTTTACAAAGAAATTATCTCTTTATTCTTACATTTTATTTTTAAAAGGGTTATACCTGCTTATGGTGGTGTAAAATTCAAAAGGTTTCAAAGATTGTCCAGTGAAAAATAAGTCTCCCTCCTACCCTGGCTGCCCAGTTACCTGGCTTCTCGTGTTAGATGCAGCCATTCTTACTGGTTTCTTGTGTGTCCTTCCAGAGGTATTCTATGGTTATACAAACATATGTTGTGGTTATTAGGTGCCATCGGGTTGATTCTGACTCATAGCGACCCCAAGTGACAGAGTAGAACTGCCCCATTGGATTTCCTAGGCTGTAATCTTTGTGGGTGCAGATTGCCAGGTCTTCCTCCCACAGAGCTGCTGAGTGGGTTCAAACTGCCAACTTTTCAGTTAGCAGCCAAGTACTTAACCATTGTGCCACCAGGCCTCCTTATACAAGCGTGCATGCGTGTGTGTGAGATATATATATGAGCCCTGGTGGCGCAGTAGTTAAGAGCTCAGCTGCTAACCAAAAGGTCAGCAGTTCAAATCCACCAGCTGTTCCCTAGAAACCCTATGGGGCAGTTCTACTCTGTCCTGTAGGGTCACTATGAGTTGGAATCGATTCGACGGCAATGGGTATGTGTGTTGTGTGTGTGTGTGTGTGTGTGTGTGTGTGTGTGTGTGTGTGTGTGTGTGTGTGTGTGTGTGTGTGTGTATGTATATGTATATTTTTTAATTTATTTTTTGCTTCGGTGTTTTATGTACTTTGCAATTCACTTCACTCTGAGGTTTCCAAGAATCCATATAGAGGGAACCAGTCATACAATAAGAAATGAATAAAGCAGTTGTCCTGACATTGAAACATGAGAGAAATTTCTTTTGTGGTTCCTAATAAAGAGGGTGCTGTGAGATATGATGAATAAAGTCTTCAGCAACACATCTATAGTCCACATCAGCAGTGAGTTCTTGGGTTTATTTCGGTAAATTCATGTTTCTGCACGATGCACCTTCAGGGAACGATCACTAATATTTTGGGAGAGAAGCACTGGTTTCAAAATTTTACAATATTATATAAATATGGACTCCACCTTAAATATGTCTATGTAACCATTTAAAAATAATATTTATGAAGTCTGTTAAGTGGAGAAGATAACACTTGAGATTATGTGTGCAGCCATCAAACGCGGATGACAGGAAATACCAGGAAGATGGTGTTAAGGAGTGCTCTAAACGTCGCACAATGCACAGGACCAGCCCTCAGCCCCCAAAGAAGAATCATCTGGCCCCAAATGTCAATAGTACTGAAGTTGAGAATCCCTGGGTTAAACTGATATTTTCTTATTTCCCAAACTTTTTAATGATATTATAACTCTCATAACTTGAAAAATAAGGCCTTAAGTTCTTGTTTTATGGGAAATAGCTTTTGAGGAGCGGTAAATAGAGATTCGAATGATAATGATTTCTAACGATGGATAAGCCAAAGAGACTTTGACTTTGTCTTGCTTACTTTTGCTACAGGAGAACTTTGATGTCTTCCTTTCATTTGAAGATTATAGCAGTAGTTCCCTGGTGGCAAATCTCCACGAACAGCACATTCAGGCTCAGGAAGTTGCCCAGGCTAAGCACAAACCCAGGAGGCCCCCACAGCCCATGGCTGCTGGGACGCAGAGCCTGCACCCGGAATCAAAGCTACACAGACAGGCGCTGGCACTGCAGGTGTCGGAACAAGAGCTGGAGGCAGAGCTGACCCTGAGGGCCCTAAAAGAAGGGAAAGTCGAAACAGCACTGAAAAAATGCAGGTGAGGTTCCAGATCCCTGTCTTGCTCAGCGTACCTTCCACTGTCACATGCTTCATTTATTTCTTCAGCAGTAAGGGTGGCGCAAGGGACATTTCCATTTTCACAGAGCTTATTCTTGGTTTCTTGTCCTGAGAGCCTGTTTTCAACCTCTTTGTGGGAAAGTAGTAGCATAGAAGGCCAATAGCTGATACGGCATAGTTAAGTAACTTCCTTACTTACCTAGTGCTGTCGTAACAAAAAATGGCACAAGTGAGTGGCTTTAAAGAACAGAAGTTTATTTGCTCACAGTTCAGGAGGCTAGAAGTTCAAATCAGCGTCTTGGAATGTCAGTTTTTCTCAGCTTCTCTCCTGGTTCCTGGTGTCCGCCAAGGATCCTTGGTATTCCTTTACTTGTAGACGGGTCCTCACATGGCCTCTGGCTTCCCCCTGTATGTGTGGCCACATCTATTCTGTTCTTTTTATACAACACCACTCAGAAGGGATTAGGTTTAGGACCCACCCTACCCTGGTATGACCTCATTAACATAACAAAAGAAAGCGCCTACTTCCAAACAGGGTCATATTTACAAGTATAGGGGTTAGGACTTCAACATACGTTTTTGAGGAACACAATTCAATCTAACAGTAACATAATCACTGAATTTCGGTTCCTGTATCTTTGACATTTAATGGTACTCCAAATAAGGTGAAAAAGAAAGTGCGTGCTATACCATGAGATCATTTTAAAGACATTTTAAGTGTTGGTGATGATGGTTACATGTTAATCCAAAAACCCAAATACGTTTGCTTCCAATATGCGTATTCTAACTGCTGACACTTCCTTTCCTCCAAAGAGACTTGTTTAAGTATCACTGCAATGCCGACACTGGGAAGTTGCTGTTTTTGACATGTCAGAAGCTTTGTCATATGTTGGCTAACGACGTCCCAATGATAATACCTGTGGGAATAAATCTTCCTTCAGAGATACATGACTTAGCCTGCCAAGCTGCCACCATCTGTAGCCCAGGTGACAAGATTTATAACACAAAGTTTTATATTCTGCGATTTATTTCATACCTGTCTCCCAAGTGCTATCTCTTTACATCTGAAAAGCACAGTAACTAGAGTAGGTAGTATCCCATTTCACAAAGAGTCAATTATAACTAATGCTCTATTGGAGATGATAATGTAACTGCTGACTGTTAACAGTACCAACCTTCATAGGATCGTGAAGCTCCTGGCCCTTCCCCATGTTTGGTTTTACTCTTAAGCCAAGCTTAAGACAAACGTTGAACTGTATTACCTAGGGTAGTCAAAACTACACACAAACCTTTCTGTCTACTTTTTGGCCTTCCTTAGAATTTTAAATGCTAAAACTATTAAAAGGTTTTTTACATTATTGTAAACATATGAAATATTAGTGTAATGACTTTTTTTTTCCTTTTCAGATTTTTTACTAGATGCTTTAGAACTATGTAAATATACTTTAACAACAGTAGAACTTGCCAGGCAGTGCCAAATGGATGACTGTGGAATTCTAATGAAAGTAAGTCACTTTTGGGTTTCTTTTCCTGTAGCAAAACCCCTGTAAATCCATTATGTGTCAATTTAAAATCACTTGCAAAATCTTTAGAAATAATGAATCTTCCTTGTTGCAAACTAGAAAATGGCTGACAGGCAAGAGGCCTCTTCTCTTTTTTAGCTTTTCCAGTTTTATTTATTAGCTCTAGTGTGTACTGTCTTTTGAAACACTGGACCTCTAGCAAAGCCTCGCTACACCAGGTCGTTAACTTAGAATAACAGTTTAATTTAAAATTGTGTTATTATAAGCTTTAAACCAGAAGAAACCAACTGCGTAGTTGTATTCGACCATCAGAACTGTGTTTGGCACTGATATGCTGGTTCTTGTTCTGTTTGGTGAAGAAGGTGCCTGTTTTACACTGTTCTTATTTGTGTCTTTTTTGTATGATTTCGTATTTAGACTTCTTTTGGAACACATAAAGATCCTTATGAAGAGTGGTCTTACAGCGAATTCTTCAGTGAAGATGGAATTGTCCTTGAGTCACAGATGGTGCTACCTGTTATTTATGAATTGATTTCATCACTTGTGCCTCTAACTGGTAAATCCCATTTTTATCGTTATTTTGTATGTATTTCTTCAGTATGGAAGTTTGAAATGTACAGGCTGAGAACTAGAACTTCACACAATAATATAGATGAATTTCATAGGCATTATGTTGAGCAAAAGAAGCCAGACACAAAAGAATGTGTGCTTGCTGATCCCATTTACATAAAGTATAAAAACAGGCTAACCAAACCAAGCCCGTTGCTGTTCAGTCGATTCCAACTCATAGTGACCCTATAGGACAGAGTAGAACTGCCCCATAGGGTTCTGACGAGCGGCTGGTGGATTTCAACTGCCGACCTTTTGGTTAGCAGTGGTAGCTCTTAACCACTGCACCACCAGGGCTCCTCTCTTGGGGACAGGTGATAGCTAAGGACTGGAGGGGGCAAAAGGGGGGCTTCTGGGATGCTGGTCGTGCTCTGTCTCTTGATATGAATACCACTACTTGCATACATTCCGCTTGTGAAAATTTACCAAGTTGTACATTTCACTGCGGCATTTTTCCTTAACGTATATCTTACTTGGAGTCCCTGGGTGGTACAAACGGTTAACTCACTCAGCTGAAAATAAAAGAAAAATTGTTTTTTAAGTACCACTATGCATTAGAACCTTATTTGACAGTAATACAATATTTAAATATCTCTGCATACATAAGCTTTCTGAGAGAGTTATTTTACTTAGTGTTACATGATTTGTTATTCTCTTTTGTAGAAAAAAGGAAGAGACATCCCTTGGATTCTGCAAGTTTGCCATACTGCTCATCTGGTGAAGGTATTTAACATGAGAACTGTACAGATTGTATTCAGATTTTGTAATTTTACAAATATAGAAATTCCCTGAAATCCTCAATGTGAATCTGACTTAACGTCTCTGCTGTAATCCTCAGTGCATTGATATTATTGCACAGGGTCGGAAGATTGTGTCATTTGGCTTCTAGTGTTAACGTTTATGAGCCTGTTCCTAAATTTTGGTTGTTCAAATAGAGAAATGGTTTTCATCAGCCAGTTATTTAAGAGAGTCCCTGGGTGGTGCAAGTGGTTAAGCGCTCGACTACGAAGCGAAAGGTTGGCAATTCAAACCCACCCAGAGGTGCCTCGGAAGACAGGCCTGGCGATCTGCTTCCAAAAGGTCACACAGCCTTGAAAACCACACGGAGCAGTTCTGTTCTGCACACAAGGGGTCGCCATGAGTCAGAATCAACTAGATGGCAAGCAACAATGATTTAAGCAACTCAATAAAATAGGCAAACTACAATAAAAGTACCTCATTATCTAGTGGATTTAGTTATTCTGTGATTTAAATCAAACCTATGTTAACTCTCTTATTAACTAACTTTGAGAATGAATCCTATGATGATTACCTGCATTGAAGAAATATGCTGTTCTTGAAAACAGTTCTTAATAATATGATCTTTCTTTGTTTAAAAAAAATCTAAATATTAAAATACTTTTACTCAGTATACTTTTATCATTTTATAGGTGACAGCCTCATTTTACCAATTATAAGTTCCATTTCTGCCCTGCTTCAGAACCTCCAGGAATCTAGCCAGTGGGAGCTGGCTCTCCGATTCGTGATCGGTTCATTTGGCACCTGTCTTCAGCATTCAGTGTCAAACGTCATGAATGACAGTTTGAGTGAAAAGGTATAGTGTCGAGAACAAATACTTCGACTTTGGATAGATACCAATACAAAAGAACTGCCAGACTAAGGAATTTGGAGTCCGCATTTTCATATCTGGACTATGTAACAAGGAAATGGATAATTTGTCAGATTTAACAAATCTTTGTTGAGCATTTACTAAGCTTCAGGTGTGGTCCAAGGTGCTTACATACATTTTCGTTCTCAAATCTTTACAACCACCTGAGAGTCTCCATTTTGCATTCAGGGAGGTAAAATAAGTTATACAAGGTTTCAGGTCGGAAGTGGAGAGCTGAAATATGAACCAGGTCTTGGGACTCCAGTGCAGCGTAATTCTGAGAATACTACATTAAGTCAAATGTATGTGTTTGCTGTTTGTTTTATTGTAGCCCAAAGTGCGATAATTATTTCCTCTGTTGACAGCATCATTTAAAATGCTCTAGAAATAAACCGAAAATATCTCCTAAAGTCTTCTTAAAATCAAACAATAGGTTAGCTTAACTAGTGAAAAGTGTCTGTTTTGAGCATTATGCTCTTTGAAGAACTATCTATATGGGATCAAATTGATAACAGCACCTTGAAAGATTAAATAGGAAACTTAGGGCGCAGTGTTAATGAGGGAGGAACAATTCAGAAAAGGAAAGTGAGAATGGTTGCACAGTTCAAATAACGTAATCAGCATCACTGAATTGTGCATAGAGAAATTATTGAATTGATGTGTGTTGTGCTGTGTATGTTCTCAACAACAACAAAAATAAAATAAATTAAAAAAAAAAAAAAAAAACAACCAAACTCTACAAGACAAACGACCTGTTGATAACTTGCTTAGGGAGTTGGTTTGCAAGGGGAATTGCCTTCGTTTCGATAACTCTGTTGATATTTATTAAATTTCTGTTTTTTTTAAATCAACTTTATTGAGGTATACCTTTCAAATATAAAATACACACGTTTTTAGTGTACTCACCAATGTATACAGCTTGTCACCACCACGACAATCAAGATACAGATATTTTAAAAGGTTCCTTTTTGCCCCTTCCCAGTAAATTTCTCCTGGCCCCTGCTTTCTAGCACTATAGATTAAATGCCAGTCCTTTTTGCTTAAAATGGTGTATTTTAAAAGTTCCTTAGTATTTAAGAAACATTTTCAGATTGACACAGAGATGTGGACCTAAAGGTTCTTTTGTTCTTTTTTAAAAGCTGTTTGGAGAAACCACATTGGTTAAATCAAGGAACGTTGTTATGGAATTGAAAGAAAAAGCTGTTATGTTTATCAGGGGGAACGCTACAACGCTGTTACACAAAGTGAGTATTTGTTCTTGGTGAACTTTCTTTTGCTTTTTACCTGTCAGCAGTGCATCCTATGATTCAATACATTGATGTTCTACTATTCAAGAACTTCAACAACCTGTATAATAGCTAATCATTGGTTTTTGTGTTCTTCCATCATGGTCATTGATGCTCGGTTGAGCAGTTTATAAAATGTTAATCAACCTTTTCCACTTCATCCCCTGATTTTAGTTATTTATTTTATGGACTAAAGCATTACAGTGATCCTAGCTGTGATTTATTTCTATTCCAAGATTTCTAATCCAAAAATCCTATTTTTCCAATACTTTATATTTTTAAAAAGGTTCTAGTAGACTTTTAAGGTGCCCTGGTAGCACAATGGTTGAGCACTCAGCTGCGAAGTGAAAGGTTGGCAGTTGGAACCCAGCAGCAGCTCCTCAGGAGAAAAGACCTCTGGCGATCAGCTCCCGTAAGGATTGCAGCCTAGGAAACTCAGTGGGGCAGTTCTGCTTTGTTACACGGGGTCGCCGTGAGTCGAAATTGACTCGATGGCACACAGCAACATCAGCAGTAGGCTTTTGATTGCATTGGGCATTTTAGTGTCCATTTGTCGTTTCCATTTGTCAGATCACTTTTTTTTTTACTTATTGTTTGGTAATAATTTCCAAGTTTCAGAGAATCTATAAGAATAGTACAAAAAACTGCTGTACCGCATTTACCAAGGCTCACCGATAGCTTTGTCATGTGCTGGCACATGTTTTCTCTTTCTTTCTTTCTCTCTCTCTCAGATCATTTTGTGTTCTATATTATTTTTCTTCAGACCATTTAGGAGTAAGTGGCATACGATTTTGGCTCTTTATCCCAACTACTTCAGTATTTGTTCCCTAAGAATAGGAATATTCTCTTATATAACCATAATACAGTTATCAGCTTCATTAAATTTAGCCATGATACGAAACTTGTGTTAATTTGCTGTCCATATTCCAATTTCGTCTACTGACCAAATAATGTCCTTTATAACATGTTTTCCCTTTCAGTACCAGATCCAGTCTAAGGATCGTGTATTGCAGGGGTCAGCAAACCAGCCGGCCACTGGTTTTTGTAAATAAAGTTTTACTGGCACACGGCCACACACATTCATATACATATTGTGTATGACTGCTTTCACTCTACAAGGCCAAAGATGAGTAGTTGTGACAGAGACTATATGGCCTGCAAACCTAAAATATTTACTATTTGGCCATTTAAAAGAAGTTGGTTGAGTCCTGACGTATTGCATTTAGTAAACATCTCTTTAGTCTCTTTTGATCTGCAACAGTCTTTACTATGCAAGCTGAAAAACGATGTCAGTACCTGGTGATAGCTTTGTGTATCTCTCTTTATAGTTTTCCAGATCTTGTCTCTGTTCCTGTGCTCCATGAGAAGTCTTTATCACTATGTGCAGATTTTCCAGAATTTTCTTCCCTTTCTTTTTGTATTTTCAGCATCTAGAGAATACTGACTTTGACTGCAATGCCACATTTTGCCTTCAGATGCCCACTCACATCAGAAAATTGTCTTAGTCACGAGTCTGTTGTCAAACAGATCACTGCTCTATTCTTAGTACAGTTATTGCTAAGTGCCAGATGTTATATTTATTCATTCAACAGGTAACTTTTGAGCATGTTGTGTGTCAGGTATTGTTCTTAGACCTTAGTATATAGTAGTGAATAAGACAAAGGTCCTTTCTTCATGGACCTTACATTCTATAATAAACAGGAACATAAACCAATACATAATATCTCACATAGTGATAAGTGCTGTGGAGAAAAATAAAGTAGGATAAGAGGGTACGGAAGGTGACGCAGATGGGAGGCTATTTTAGATAGGGTGTTCAAGGGGAGCATCTCTGAAGAGGTGACACTTGAGCAAGGGGCCTAAATGACTTGAAGGAATCACGAAGTGAACATCTAGGGGAAGAACATTCTAGATGGTGGGAACAGCACGTGCAGAGACCCTGAGGTGGACGTGTCCTTGTCAAGACGGCCAAGATGGCTGGGGGACGTTGACTGAGAGGAAAAGTGGTCGGAGGTAAAGGTCAGAGGTAGGCAAGGCCTAGATCCTGCTAGGGCCTCACAGACCAAGGTAACTTTATCCTACATGCGATGAGAAACCATTGGAGGATTTTGAGCAGAAAAGTGATTTAATCTGATTGACATGTTTAAAAGATCACTCCAGTAACTGTGTGAGAAATGGATTGTAGCTCTTCAGGAGTGAAAGTAGGGAGGCCAATTGGAAGGTGACTACAGTTACCCAAGAAAAAGATGATGATTGGGCCTGAGTGGTAACAAAGAGTGTTGTGAGAAGGGGTTGGATATATTTTATATGTACAGTATACAAGACTTGCTGATGAATCAGGCATTGTCTTAGTTATCTAGTGCTGTTATAACAGAAATACCACTAGTGGTTGCTTTAACAAACAAAGTTATTTTCTCACAGGAGACTGAATTCAAGGTGCTGGCTCTAGGGGAAGGCTTTCTCTCTGTTGGCTGTGGGGGAAGGTCCTCGTATCTTTTCCGCTTCTGTTTCCTGTTTCCTTAGAGATCTCTTGGCATCTTTCTTCGTCCATCTGTGCTTTTTTTGCTTACTTGCCTAATCTGCTCTCAGAAGAGCTGGATTTAAATCACCCAACACTAATACTGGAGCCCTTGTGGCACAGTGGTTAAGAACTTGCTGCTAACCAAAGGTCAGCAGTTCGAATCCACCAGCTGCTCCTTGGAAACCATATGGGGCAGTTCTACTCTGTCCTGTAGGGTCGCTGTGAGCCTACTCGACGACAATGTGTGGCAGTGAGTACACTAATAGTGCCTCATTAACATAACAAAGAAAACCCATTCCCAAAATGGGATTATAACCACAGGTATAGGGGTTAGGATTTACAGCACAGATTTTTGGGGGATACAGTTCAATCCATAACAGATATGGAATAAGAGGAAATGAAAAGATCTAAGACTAACTCCTAGGTTTTCAGCCGGAACAATTGGGTGGATAATGGTGCCACTTACTGAGGTGGGAGGGTTGGTAGAAAAATGGAGTTGGGCGAGAAAATCAAGACAGAACTGAATTTTGGATATGCTAAGTCTGAGGTCTTTGGACGGCCTCTCAGGCAGTGAGTTATAGATGCTGAGCTCATCGTCTATGTTGTAGATGTTATAGATGTCAAGCCTACAAGAGGGTGTAAATTTGGGAATCATCAGTAGCTTGTATTAAGTTGAACCCTACGAAATTGTTGTTTCTGTATGTTAAAAACTCAAATATCAGCGTTCATGTATGGTGAAGCCTAACTGATATAAGAGACACCTAAGTCCTGAATCCTGGGTCAGAATTCTTAGAGGTCAGGAAGAGGGGGAGAACCCAACGGAGTAGACTATGAAGAAACAGTCAGTGAAAGGGAAGGAAAACCCAGGAGAGTTTAGTGTCCCTGAAGTTTAGTGCCCAGCGTTCGACGAAGGGAGTGATCAACTATACCAAGAACACTGATAGTCGCAGTAAGGTGAGGACTGTTAAATTTGGCCACAGGGGTCATTCTTGACCTTTGCAGAAACAGTTCGGGTGGAGCGGTGGGTGTACTATGTGGACTTAGTCCAAGAGACACTGCCGGAGAAGAATCTTTTGCAGTAGCTCGCTTTAAAGGGGAGCAGAGGAGTAGGCTAGTAGCAGAAAGTGTTCCAAGATTTTGTTTTAAAGATGGGAGATATTATAGTATTGAACCACCATAAAACCGTTAAAAAAAACCCCGTTGCTGTCAAGTCCAACTCATGACGACCCCAAGTGTTACAGAGTAGAACTAAGCTCCACAGAGTTTTCTTGGCTGTAATTTTTACAGAAGCAGATCTCCAGGCCTTTCTTCCGTGGTGCTGCTGGTGGGTTTGAGCCACCAGCCTTTCCGTTAATAGTTGAGCACAAACCATCTGCGCCACCTGGGGACCTTACTGAACCCCCAGAGAGGGAGGAAATTACCAAGAGAGAAAGAGGACTTTGCAGGAGCAAAATCCTTGAGTAGATGAAAGAAGATGGGATCCACTAAGCAGGTGGAGGGGTTGGCCTTAGGTGGGCAGGGACAGTTGATGGTGGCAGGTAGGAAGGCAGAATGCTTATGTTCAGGTCCAGGTGCAGGTGGGATGGTAGACTTGGTGGTGGGAGGAAGAGGGAGCTCTCTTCTGATTGATTTCTCAGTGATGTGAAAAGTGAGGCCATTAGTTAACAGTGAGGAGGAGGGGGAGATATTGCAGGTTTGAAGAGAAGGGGTGAAATAGTCACGCAGGTGAGAAGAAGGTAAGGGTTCTGTTCCGTACAGAACTTGTTAGAGTTGCTTTCCTTAAATTTATGATAATGATAAAGGACATTCAAACTACGCAAACAAACTTTAAACCAAAAACATCCTCTGAAGGGGAAGTTAGCACAACTGGAGTAAACCAAAAGCTAAGAAGTTTCATTAACACAGCCAACCACTTCAAGGGACAGAGTAGCAGGGGCAGGGGTCTGGAGACCATGGTTTCAGGGGACATCTAGGTCAACTGGCATAACAAAGTTTATTAAGAAAATATTCTGCATCCCACTTTGGTGAGTGGCACCTGCGGTCTTAAAAGCTAGAGAACGGCCATCTAAGATGCATCAATTGGTCCCAACCCCCCTGGAGCAAAGGAGAATGAAGAACACCAAAGACACAAGGAGAATGTTAGCTTAAGAGACAAAAAGGGCCACATAAACCAGAGACTCCATCAGCCTGAGACCAGAAGAACTACATGGTGTCCAGCTACCACCAATGACTGCCCTGACAGGGAACACAACATAGTCCCTGATGGAGCAGGAGAAGAGTGGGGTGCAGAACTCAAATTCTACTAAAAAAGACCAGACTTGATGGTCTGACTGAGACTGGAGGAACCCCAGAAGACATGGCGCCCGGACTGTCTGTTAACCCAGAACTGAAGCAATTCCCAAAGCCAACTCTTCAGACAAAGATTAGACTGGACTATGGGACATAAAATGATACTTGTGAAGAATGTGCTTCTTAGTTCAAGTAGATACATGAGACTAAATGGGCAGCTCCTGTCCAGAGGCAAGATGAGAAGGCAGAAAGGGATAGGAGCTGGTTGAATGGACATGGGAAATCCGGGGTAGATAGGAGGAATGTGCTGTCACATTATAGGGATGGCAACTAGGGTCACATAACAGTATGTGTATAAATTTTTGTATGAGAAACTAACTTGAGCTGTAAACTTTCACCTAAAGCACAATTAAAAAAAAAAAAATTCCCTGAAGTCTTCTTAAAACCAAACAATACTTTAGCTTGTTGTTGTTAGGTGTTGTCAAGTCTGTTCTGACTCGTAGTTACCCCGTGTACAACAGAACTAAACACTGCCCGGTCCTGTGCCATCCTCACAGTTGTTGCTATGGTTGAACCCATTGTTGCAGCCACTGCGTCAATCCGTCATCGTTGAGGGTCTTCCTCTTTTTCACTGACCTTCTACTTTACCAAGCATGATGTCCTTCTCCAGGGACTGGTCCCTCCTGATAACATGTCCAAAGTATGTGAGGCCAAGTCTCACCATCCTTGCTTCTAAGGAGCATTCTGGTTGTACTTCTTCCAAGACAGATTTGTTCGTTCTTCTGGCAGTTCATGGTATATTCAGTATTCTTCACCAGCACCATAATTCAAAGGCATCAATTCTTCAGTCTTCCTTATTCATTGTCCAGTTTTCACATGCATATGAGATGATTGAAAATACTGTGGCTTGGGTCAGGCACACCTTAGTCCTCAAAGTGACATCTTTGCTTTTTAACACTGCAAAGAGGTCTTTTGCAGCAGATTTGCTCAATACAATATGTTGTTTGATTTCTTGACTGCTGTTTCCATGGGTGTTGATTGTGGATCCAAGCAAAATGAAATGCTTGACAGCTTCGATATTGAAGCTGAAGTTCAGCTTAACCAGTAAACAGTGTTGGCCTTGAGCATTATAATTGACGACAGCAACTCAAAAGATCAGATAGGAAGCTTAGGGGGCAGTGGGTTTATGTTAATGAGGGAGGAACAGCTCAGAAAAGGAGGGTGAGAATTGTTGCACAACTTGAAGAATGTAATCAATGCCACTGAATGGTACATGTAGAAACTGTTGAATTGTTGTATATTCTGCTATGTATATTCTCAACAGCAGCTTAAGCAAAATAAAAAATTTTTTTAATTGTATACAATTTAGAACTATTACTGTGCATAACCTTTCATGCAACACTTGTTCATTCATGGGGTCTTGTCTTAATTTATTAGTGCTGCTGTAGCAGAAATACCACAAAAGGTGATGGCTTTGATGAACAGAAGTTTCTTTTTCTCACATTTTAGGAGACTAGAAGTCAGAATTCAGGGCACTAGCTCTAGGGGATGGCTTTCTCTCTCTGTCGGCTCTCGGGGAAGGTCCTTGTCTCTTTTCCGCTTTTGTTCCTCTGTTTCTTGGCGATCTTCACGTGTGTGTCTTCCCCGGGTGTGTCTTACCCTCCATGTGCTTCCTTCTCTGTACCTAATCCGCTGTTTTATATCTCAAAGGTGATTGGCTTAAGACACAACTTGTACTGATAATGGAGCCCTGGTGGTGCAGTAGTTAAGAGCTTCACTGCTAACCAAAACGTCAGTAGTTTGAGTCCACCAGCCACTCCTTGAAAACACTATGGGCAGTTCTACTCTGTCCTGTAGGGTTGCTATGAGTCGGAATTGACTTGAAGGCAATGGGTTTGTATTTTTTTCTTTTTTTTGGTATACTGATGATGGTTTCATTAACATAGCAAAGAAACTCCTATTCCCAGATAGGATAGTATCCACCGATATAGGGGTTTAGGATTTACAACACATATTTTTGAGGGATACAGTTCAATCCATACAGGTCTTAATTAAGTTTAGTGACGAATAACCCTTTAGACACTTAACTCTGTTCTGATTGTGAAGAATTGGCTTCTTTTGCTGCTTTACTCCTGTAGGTATTCAATTGTCGCCTGGTGGATCTGGACTTGGCATTGGGTTACTGCACTCTCTTACCCCAAAAAGACGTGTTTGAAAACCTCTGGAAGCTCGTAGACAAAGCGTGGCAGAATTACGACAAAATTTTGGTATGACCAAAGGCAGCACACCTTCAGTTCTTGAACACAAAACGTGAAAGATTTAGGGCGAGAAATGAAGTTAGCTTTCCCATTAGGTCTTAAAGATTCAGTGGACAAGTGTTTGGCTAACCTACCAGCTTTTCCCTTGACTGGGGACGTTGCGATGAATGTACGTGCGTGTCATAAGCTTTGCTCATTCCAGAAAATTCTGATGCTTTTTATTTTTTAAAATCTGTATGTGCATACACATGATGCCTGATTCACACTCATTCTCATGCATTTGAAACCCTAGACCCATGAGGGTTCTTTTTTGTGGGACACGTTTAAAGGGGTAGAGAAACTTCTTTTGAGTATCGTTTGTTTTACATTTTGTCTTTTGTGGGAGTTTTGCTTGCAGGATTATTAAAACTTGGCCTTTGCTTGTGAAAGAAAGCCAGATTATACTTATGGGATCATATGAAAAGCTGAATTACGTAGGGTGTCGTGTAAGAAGTAATGACTGTGTACTAAAGCAATGGGTAACAGTCCACACTTTTATCTCAAAGAAAGGTTATGATTTTTATCATTGGGTTTCATCTAAAAGGTGTTAGTTAGAAGAACTTATTCTCCTTGAAGTTGAATTTTAATTCTATTTTAATTTTTTAGGCAATATCTCTGGTGGGCTCTCAGCTGGCCAAGCTCTATCAGGAAAAAGAAATGGAACTTAAGTTCTGTGAACTCAGTACTGATGCCCAGTGGGGTGTCCGTCTCAGCAAACTTGGTGTGAGTATTCGTGCTGCTCTGATAACTACCCAGTTGGAAAATTTAAAACAAAGATCTCATTTTCCTTTACTTTTGGAGAGAGGACATATATATCCTGACTCATAGATTATAGCTATATTAAGTATATACCTGGTGTTTTCACAGAAGTAAGGACCCTTTTTCTACATTTTTAAGGAAATGAAGAGGCTTGACATTTTCATCTGCTTAGCTTTCTCATACACACACACACACACACACACACACACACACACACAC